AAAGTAACCCCTACCTATTGTCCCTTTTCCCCACCCTCTTTCTTGTTGGGGGTGGGGGTGGAGGAAGGTGAGTAGACTATCAAGGCCTGGCAGTTTAGCCCAGGAGGAGGCACAGCATCCCTGAGCTGAGCCTGGCCTGGCAGACCCCCTGATGGAACCAGGAGAGTGTGGGACAAGGAGGGCAGGGTGAGGGTGGAGGGCCAGGGACTAGGTGGAGAGAGAGGCTAAGGAAGTAGGCTTTCTGACATGCTCCCCACATTCAGGCAGCCATGGTGGGGGGCACACAGCTCAGTTTCTAATTAAGGCCAGTTTCTAATTAAGCCTAGCCCCTGTGTCTCCTGGCTCCCCATTAGCGTCCCATGGTGTCCCCAAGGCATTTTAAGCTGCCACCCTTCTGAGGAGCCTGGGATGGCCGCCAGGGCCTGCCAAGCTTGATGAGCTCAGGCCCGTGAGGGGCAGAAAGCCAACTGAGACTTCCCCTCCTGCCCGCAGCAGTCTCTAGGCCTTCCAGTCTCCTTAGAAGCCCAGGGGAGCCTCCTGCTCACCATGTCGTCCTCGGGAGCCCTGAGCGAAATCCAGTCTCTCTCTCAGAGGGCCTTGTCCTGGCACCACTCCCTGATCCCAATGGGAGGTGGGGAACAGGGTTTGAGTGGGCTTTGGTAGCAGCCCCCAGGCTCAGGAATGTGCTGTCTGAATCCACCACCTACTGTGGAGTCTGCTGAGGGAAGCAGTAATTACCATTTTAGGTTCAGGCGGCCCTGGTTAGTTAACCCTTGTGGCACTGGGGCTCCAGGAAGCCAAGTCCTCCACTTTCTTCCCTTCTTTTTTCAAGCCTTGCATTCCAGACACCACCCCCCCAGTTCCTGGCAGAGTGAGCAACCTAGATTTGCCTTCCCGGTCCCCCATTTCCCATCACACTCTCAGCTGAGCTCAGAGAGGTGGAGCAGCAGGTCCAAGGTCACACAGCCATCCCTAGAGGGAGCCTCCACCCCTGGAGATGAGCCCTACCCCAGTCTCCGTAGCTTCCACCTTCACGATCTCCCCAGGCCATATTCACACATGCAGAGTTTAATTAACTTTATTGATATTCAGAAATTAAGAGAATGACTAAAGGTAATTGCTCATTAAAAATCATTAAACCGACACAGCAGGCCCTGGGCACCCGCTGCCCCTCCCGCACTGCTCCCCTAACCGCAGGGGCAAGATTGCACTGCACTGCCTGTGGGTAAGGAGGAAGCCTGATGGCCCAAGGCACCCCTCATGCCTGAGGACAATCTAGCGATCTCCCCTACCTCCACAGCCTGCCTCGCCTTCAGGCCTCCGCAGCTTCTGGGCTGCGCCTGGCTGCACCCCGTGGCCTGCATCGTGTGAGCAAAGCTCTCAGGGCCCGACACCATGCCGGGAGGCTGAGGGAACACTGCCCCAGCTGCAAAGGCTTTTGCTAGTCAATGCCGACTGAAGCTCCCAGGAGCCCAAGACAGCCAAATGCACCACCTCCCAATGGGAGAATCAAAACCCCAATGACTGGGACCTCCAACCTCACTGAATAGTAAGGGGCCTCGGGCTGCCCAGCTCTAAAGTCCAGGCCCCTCTCACCTGCCAGGCCTGGCACTGAGGGCGGCTTTCTCGGCCCCTTTTAAGAGTGAAAATAAAGGTCTTCCCCAACAGTCAGACAGACCCCTGCCACACATTCCCCTTGGGCAGGCGGCAGCTTAGGCACTGGAGGTTCTGGTGGGTCAGGGAGGGGTACTGGCTGGGTCACACAACGGGCAGGGGGGGCACAGAGTGGACAGATCCCTCCTAACACTCAGACCCTGGCGGGGCGCCTGCTACCCAGTCACAGCAGCCTTCCTCCTGGACACTCACTCCAGCCCTGCAGGGAGCTCTGTGGCTGCACTGCACGCTCCTCCTGGCTCACACCTGCTCCCTGCTGAGCCCTCACCCAATATTCAGGCCTCCTGGAGCGCAGACACGTTCGGACCTACTGCTGCCACACGCAGGGCCCAGATTACACTCACACTCAGACCCTCGCATCCACACGAGGTCTCAGGCTGCAATGCCAAGGCACACTCACGAACCCCGTTCCCCAGGGGAGCTGTCCAGCGAGAAGCCGTGACCGGACCTGATAACAGGTCCCAAACTGCAAGCGACAACCTCAGACTGCTGGGCGGGGATGGGGGTTTCTCTTCCTCGCTCCCGCTCCAGGTTGGGGCTTGCGGGGTACTCTCCCATCCCCCCGCAACGTGAATACGCGGTCCCAAGTCCCCGCACCCCCGCCCCCGCCGCGAGAGGACCAGCTGAGCAGCCTGGTGGTGGGAGAGCACTGGGCTGCGGGAGTGGAGCTAGAGGCGCAGAGCGAGGCTTCCGCCTCTCTGGGGACGCAGAACGAAGGAACTGCCGTCAGGGGCCCAGCCCGGCACGGACAGTGCTGCCCTGACCTCTAACGAACCAGGCCTGGAAAGATGGAGTGCGGAGGTTAGAAACTCCCACCTTCTCCCCCTCCACATCAGGTGCTATGAGCCATATGGCGAGGGACAGCAGGTCCCAACTCCAAATGCGGTTCGGTGACCCCACCAGCCGACCAGCTGCCGCGGGAGAAGCACCTGGGTGTTGACGAGAACTCGTTTAAGCTGGGACAGCAGGTCCAGAGGAAACCAGACACCTTCCTTTTCCAGGGCACAGACCCAGCCCTCTCCCCAACACTCCATTGCTGCCCACTCCATGGCCAAGCTTCCCTTTACCTGAGACCACCGAAGTTGGGCACCGAACTCTGAGCAGGGGCCTGGGGGCCACAGGCTGGGGGACCGATCTCCCTGCCAGGAGTCTACCAAGGGGTGGACAGGGGCCAGCCAGGAAGGCAGACTCAGAGGGTGGCAGAGCTCTGGGAGTGTTGTGTGTGTGCGCGCAAAGGAAAGGACTTCGAGGACAGTCTCCGTACCAGGACCTCAGCGGCTGCAGCTCAGGGGACAAAGAGGAGCTGGTTGGGGGCCCCTGGCCGCTCGAGTTTCTCCCCAGAATTGCGCTCTACGTTTCGCTCTGGCATGACTGTGCCACGGCGAAGGGAGGTAAGCGACGTCCCAATCCCAGGTCTGGAGCCATCCGTCCCCGTCTCTCCGCAGTGAGGACGCGAGAGACCCCGGAACCGGCGGCAAAGTCAAGAGAAGTTTGGCGGGCGGCAGGGGAGGCGGGACCGCGGGCGGCCGGCTCGACAGTCCGGACTCACCGCCCTGCGCCCCCCCGCACGCGCCCCGGCGCCCCTGGACGCCTGGAGTGTGGCGAGGTAGCGCGCGGGTGAGCGCGTGTGTGCGGGGAGGGGGTGGCGTGATGAATTGCAGCAGAGAAATCCCATTAGATCCGGGGAGATGATTAAAGGCGAGGTCTCGGCCGGGCGCGAATGGCGGGAGCCACGGCAGCTTCCCGCCCGCGGAGCCCGCGCCCC